TTAACCTCCTATATCTCCGTTAATCTAACTCTTCCATATATATTGCAGAAAGCTGTACCTTGTCTGATCGGTATTTGTCAGAAAAAAAAATGGTTACAAAGTTGGCTTCCTTTGCAACTTCTGAGCAGCTTTTAGCTTTATTTACTGGAATTGTAAGCTTATTTGACCAGATTTGTATAGATATTGTCAAAAATATGACACTGATATCGAAAAGTTTGAACAGAAATACTTTCTGGAAAAGTATGGCTGTTCACACACTGCATTATGAGGAGTCAATGAAGTGGCTTCTTCTCCTTTTCTACATGAGTAGTAAACAAAGAATATGGATATATATGATTTTAAGCTCATAAGGAAGTCAAAATCAATTCAAATCAGGAGAAGTAATTAATGTGTAAAGGTAGGAATAACTAATTAAGATAGCTTCATATGACCAATTTGTACCAATTAACTTTTCAAGAAGCTATTGGTAATAATCATGTGACATGCAACTCACCTTGATTTATTGGTCCGAATTAAGCTTTAGGATTTTGGATTTGAAGTCTATATATGTGATGTGTGTATAAATTTATTTTAATTGACTTTAATATTCAATATAATAATAATCATCATCATCATCATCACGTGACATTCATTTACACCATTAATATTAGAAGTTGTTAAATAAATTTTGTGGAAAAATATCATATTTAATCATATCTATTCATCTCATTGTTTGTGATATTGAAGAGAAAGAAGATTACTAAAGAAATTATGAGAGATTGGTATGCAACTAAGTGGATAAGATTAGAGAGAGTCGTCTTAGAAGGTTTGGTAACATAAAACGGCGGCCTACCGATGACCTGGTTAGGAAAGTTGAGGTATTGGATTTGACTTATGTTAAGAAAGATAGATGTAGACCTAAAAAGAACTGGTTAGAAAATATTAGAAATGATATTTCTTTATTAGATTTAAACAAGAATTTGACTTTTAACATGACACAATAGAGAAAAATGATTCATGCATGTAGCTGACCCCACGTAGTGGGGCAAAGGCTTGTTGTTGGTACGCAACTCAATTTGGTCTATTCGTTGGGAGCTTTGACTACTAATCAAAATGTATTGAGTTCCATTCTTGCATATATGATTTCTGTATGAATTTGTCTTAATTGATCTAAATGTCCCAAAAAAATTTATAAAAGTTTGACATTTTTTCATTTGGTTAATTTCTTGAATCTAAGAAATATAACAATTTTATTTAAATTATAATAAAAATATGACTACAATATAACTATAACTAAATTGAAATTATATGATTATTAATTTTTTAATAAATTAACATAAAAAAGGTTGGGAATTGTTCAAGGAATGAGCGTGGAGGAATTGTTTAAGCCACATTCTTCACATTTATTTATTTATTTATTCTGAATCGCCATTGACATTCCTCTCTTCCTTTCAAAAAATAGGCACCGACTTAAAGAGAAATTCATTGAACGCATGCCGTCCATCACTCCGTAAGAAATTGGTTTTATATATATATTATTGCATAGTTTTATATTATCAGAGCGCACCTCCACTAACGCTCACAGTCTGACAGCAAACAGACCCAGTCCTTAATCACCGTTAAGCCTTAACTAACTCTATTTGATATCTGCCATACACGTGGCATTAGTATGGTTATATAAAGAATGTTTTGTAAACAACAGCAGGCAATGAAACAGTGGAATTACTGTGCAATTACTGTTCATCTTCTTCTTCTTTGCATTTCGTAACTTGCAGGTACAGCTGAGGTTCTTCTCAGCTTTTCTTCATATATAATTATTAATTTTTTAATAAGTTAACATAAAAAAAAAGGTTGGGAATTGTTCAAGGAATGAACGTGGAGGAATTGTTTAAGCCACATTATTCACATTTATTTATTTATTTATTCTGAATCGCCATTGACATTCATCTCTTCCTTTCAAAAAATAGGCACCGACTTAAAGAGAAATTCATTGAACGCATGCCGTCCATCACTCCGTAAGAAATTGGTTTTATATATATATATATATATTATTGCATAGTTTTATATTATCTCTTAAGTTGTGTTAAAATTTATATTCATAACGTTCAGTTTTATTAAAAACTTTTGTTAAGAGATTCCATATGTAGACTCTCAAATTAGTGATGCGCTTCCTAAACTGAAGAGGAGATTAAGGTTTCGTTTGGGACGGCTTTCTTCTTGCTTCTTAAAATAAATTTCTAGTATAAAAATTAAAATTTTTGTATAAGAGAGCTACTTTAAGAAGCAATAAAAAAGTCATCCCAAACGAAGCTTAAGGTTTCATTTGGGATAGCTTTCTTACTATTTTTTAAAACAGTTTTTTAGTATAAAAATATTTTGTACTAGAAAACTACTTTATAAGATAGTAAGAAAGTTTTCCCCAACAAATCCCAAGTCTTCATTTCGGAAGGCTTTTTTAGTGATTCTTAAAGCAATTTTCTAACGCAAGAAAGCTGCTTTAAAAAGTAAGAAAGCTATCACTAACGAAGCCTAAATCAACCATTAATAAACTCAAAGAAAACAACCTTAGTAGGAAAGAAAATCTCTGTCAACCTTCGTAAGTCCTGTATTGAATCGAGAAGAAGTTAATGACTTGGTTAATTTGCTTTCCAAGCTAAGAATTGTTTTGCTTGGAGTTATGATCACATGCCCAAATAATCTCCCAATATAATGGTTCATTTTTTTTTTAATAAAAGGAAATACATTAAAATAGGAAAGGTACAATCAAAGATACCACACCGGGCCACAACAATACCTTACAATTAAAACCTCAAAAACCCAAAATAAGGGAAAAAAGGGGATATGAAACGGAAGACGCGGACTAAGACTAGCGTCGGGTTGCCAGGGAGAGGCCATCCGTGGGATAAAAGAAATTCGCAAATGAGAAGCTGCCAAGTGAATGAAAAGGGCCACATACATTATTATTATTATTACTTAATTTTTTAAAATTTACAACCTTAGCATTCTATTATTAATAAAATGTTATATTCAAAAGTTATAAAGCTTAATAGAAAATAAAAATAAACTCAATTATCGCAAGAAATTACAAAATTATATTGGCTTATTTTAACATTTAATATGACTACACTTGTGCAAAAATGTTTAATAATTAAATCAAATAAAAATTAAAGATGCATTAAACATATGAATGTAAGTGAGTCAAGCCGTCTCGTGAGCCGTCTTGGGCTCAACTAGATAGATAACTCATGAGCCGAACTTTTTTTTTTTAACAAAAACAGAAATATATTAATAATCCCAAAAATCCAGATACATCAACAGACAAAAAGAAAAAGCCATTAAAATATATTATAATTCAGGATTTTAAATACAAAATTGTTAAAAATATTTAAAATTTATATTATAATTTTTTATATTAAGTATTTCATTATTAATTTTCTTATAATTTCTTATTTTTTTTATCATTTTATTATAATAATTTCTTAAATCATAATAATTTTCTCTCTTTCATAATAAACGAGCCGCCTCATGAGCTAGCTTGAACTCGTTGAATAAAGCTTGAGCTCGAACTCGATTAATGAATCAAGCTCAAGCCAGGAGTGTCTGAAGCTCGACTAGACTCATTTACACTCTTAATTAAACCCCATAAGTCAAAACTACTTCATAACTACATATGCGCTTCAATTATCAATTTCATTTTAACATTTGCTTAAGAATAATTAAATTAAATTAATTAAAAGATAAGGCTTTATAAGTCCCGTAGACAGCTAACACACCTCTGAGGAATTTAATCAAACATGTTCCGTGCATGCAATGGGTAAGACAAAAGCCTAAAAGGGATGTTTTGGTACAACATAATGTCAATGGTTCAACAGAGTAGAAATTTCAAGGTTGGAATTATTGGGAACTTAATTTCTGCTCGTGTGATTAAAATATGGAAACTCGTTCACGTTCTTCTGGCTACTGATAGCTTGGCCAGACAACCAGCTGGAAAGAATCTACATTTATTAAGAACATGAAGTGCCCCACTTGAACATATATATATCTATCTATATATAACATAAAATTATTTAACATTCTTACATATTTTGATCTAATCTCGAGCTAGTTTGATTCAAGCAAAGAGCAGATCGATTCGGTCTTTTTTTTTTACATTTGAGCCGATTAAGACAGATTTACACACACATCATATAAACAAATTTCAAACCAAAACTTCCTAAATTAGTAATCAAAACACTCAACCAACATATCAAAATCACTCCATACAGACTTGATCGAAGCCAAGTACCAACATTCTCATTAGTCACTCAATTCAACCAAACCAAGTACCAACATTCTCATTAGTCACTCAATTCAACCAAAAAATTAATTAAATTTTCAAATGATCTTCTTCCTTCTAGTCAATTTAACAATGAATTATTCGGTGCGGACGCCAAACGCCGTTCGAAGACCAACTAGAATGCGTCACGTCACCTCTCTGCTCAGTACCGCAACTCGATATCGCTATCATGACTCATTCTAATTGGTCTCCAAACAGTGTTCTGCATCCGGTCTCAGCACAAAATAATTTCTCCACTACAATTTAACATCACTAATTTATACTATCACAAGCATTCATAAAACAAGGGTAACAATGTCCCTTCAATTATGGTAAATTCTTAGAATGGTAAATAAAAATGATTAACAATCTAAGACGACTGTAATATTTTATAAATATAGTTATTAAGTTATTATGAGAAAAATAATTCCTGTAAAAATTATTTTGAGTCGAATTTCTACTTTCTTAAGAAATTTTTTAAAAAACAGCGATCAAACAAAATAGTGATTACGGTCTGAAAAGCACAGCAATGAAAAAGCTATCCAAAATTGATCCTAAGAGCACAAATAAAACTGATTAGCATAGCATTAACCAATTTCTCAATTTCATCAACAGTTTTGCGAAATGATTTTGGTTCCTCATCACCATCCACCAACCAAATATGAACTAATACTCACTATTGCATAAAAAGGGCATACCTGACACAGGAGAAGAAAGAGGCCTTATTCCTTTATTTATATGGTGGCTGCTAGCCTGCTTCCATAACATAACTCGCGATTGTATAATAAAAATACTTCAACGGCACTAATTTGTTGGCTACCAACTTCAAAGAAACTAATGTGATCAAACCTTTCAACTGTTCTTCGAATCACACCCAATGTTCTGCATACATGATCAATGGAAACTTCACTCATTTCAACCAAAATCTGGAGCCCAGGTATTTGAGGCAGATTATTTAGAGAAAACATAAAATGTAAGACAACACGGTGGCAAAGGAGTTTTAGGCTTCGTTTGGGACGGCTTTTTTATTGCTTCTTAAAATAACTTTATAGTATAAAAATTTTATTTGTTGTACTAAAAAACTGTTTTAAGAAGAAGTAAGAAAGCTATCCCAAACATAGTCTTAGTAGATGTGATCTTCCTGGTAGCTATCACCAATGACTGAAATGAAGCTCTCAAGCCATGGCAGCTGATTAAGATCCTTGATAGTGTCGAGGTACGAGTCAGACGAGCGAGGCGGAGATTGACAGGGATTGTGGTTGTCCAGGCTGATTCCACCAGCAAGAAACCTTTGGATCAGAGCAAGCTGAGTCTTCTCTTGCTCTGTGTAACCATCAATAGTTGATGGCAGGGGATTGAAACAATCCCATCTCCAATGCTCAATTTCATGTTCAGATGGTGCTGGAGATGACTCAGAGTTTACATCATGGAATTCACATTGGCATGTCTGACTTCCATATCGATATTCCGCGCCACAGGAGAAGCAGAACTCATGGCCACACCTGTAAGGTCAGACAGATTAATAGTTTTAGAACTTGGAAGGTTTTTTCAATCTTCATTGCTGCATCCAAGTTTAATTGGGGGATAAAGCAAGGATAAGGAATACATTTAGATTAAGGACCGTAAAGTAATGAAAAGGAAAAAGAAGCAGGTTACTCTTTTCAATCATATTTCATAGTTACAGGAATTACTAAACAGGGTTAGATGAGTGCTAAGCAATTTACCAATGGTATGAGCAATGCTGCAGCATTCATGGAAATCTGTTAGACTGGTCCATTGGACCGGTCCAACTGGTCCGACGGGACCGAACCGTGCGCAAAAGGGCAGAGGAGTTCCACCTCTTGTACAAGCCGCGTGAGCCTCAGGTCCACGGGAGCCGTTTTAGGAAGGCTCGTCCACGGGAGCCGTTTTAGGAAGGAATTTTGAGGAAGTTTAGGAGGAAAATTGAATGTAGGGACTGTTTAGAGATTTCCTTTTGATTTACATGCATTAAATACTTTGTTTTTCTGGGGTTATGGCATCTTGAATTTGGCGGTAATTTGAGATATCTTAAGTTTTTTTTGGGCTCTAGCGGCGTCTATAGATTGGGAGAAATCGATCCTCCTCTCGAATAGAGGATCAATTGTATCTTTGGTATTTTCCGTTTCCCTTTCATCAAAAAATACAAATTATCTACTGTTTTTGTGGTTTTGTGTGAATTTTTGTGGAGAATTCTTGCAGTTTTCCGAAGATTGATAGAAAATACTTGAGATATACAAGTGTTTTCTATCAAAAACCTAAGTTACATTTTTTTTTAATTTTTTTTTTGTTACATGTTTCTCTGGCATGAATAGGATTTGGATTTTCTCCAATTAGAATAGTAATTGCTGGTACAATTCGTACTTAATATCCAGTCTTCAAATTCATTTTGGATGGCCGAGATTGATTTTATAGAAACTGAAGACCACTGGATTAGATATAATTGCAGCCGTAAAATTTCCATCAAAATCGTAGAGGATTCTAATCCAACTTGAATTAACAAATGTAAAGTGGTGGTAATTTATCCAAAAGCACATGCAACATAATATGTCTAAAAGAGATCAGATTAATTTGAAGCAATATTTGCAACAAACCATCATCAACTTGATCACTGTTATCCTAACCATTTACAATAAGCTTCATAAATGGTTTTTAAACAGTTATTTATGATGAGTGCTGCAAAATTTAGTTAAGTGTAGTTCGCACAAACTTTTTTTTACAACTTCTAATTATATAATAGTTAATTAATCTCGTTTCCTACCTATTCTATCTCCTAGTATTAGTGATGCTCTTCTAAAATTCTTCACTAGGCGCTACTCCAATAATCACTCTTTTATTATTATCTTACATTCTACTCTTATTAGTCTCACAATAGATTCAAACTTATATTCTCATTCAACTGCGCTCTTTGATTGTTAGTGACATTTTTCATCAATATTCTACTTCATACATGGCAAAAAATGTTTTAAGTCTATGATATTTTTTTACTGCAAGGATCCCCAAAATCTTTCTAAAATTCTTAGCACCCAAGGTTCTCCATATGACCAACCAATTTTAACTAAGTTATATCTTCATAATTTACACAACTACTCTTCAATATACTAGATTAACATTAAAAAACACATCATACATAATTATTTAGTGATTGTCCAACATTAACCTAATAAACTAGATTTCCTCTCTATAGGCTACACTTAATCAGAATAATTAGTGAAAAAAAATTAAGGAGGCCAACACTAAATGTGATTAGGCCTCAGTTTGTTGGGATTTGAAGCAATATCCATTAGTTTTCATGAATGCAATACAATCAATTTGTCAAAGAGATGTTTCACAATCATCAGTTTGCTAGGACGACAGTGGTATGATGATTACTAATTGAGGCTAAGGCTTGCAAAAATGAAGGCATGGCATGAGCTTGTTGGTAATCAAAAGCATCTTAATAAAACAATATATATATATTACCAGCACAAGAGACAAACTTAAAGAAAAAAATAGTGTTGTGCTACAATTAAGTACTCTCATTGGTGATGAGACCAAATATATGTATCAAAAGAAACTTGAAATTTAATTAAAGCATCAGAAATCATTGTCAAATAAACTATTTTGTCCAAGACATACAAATTAAATCCATTCTCATGCTAGAAGTTCTACGTTCCATGCAAAAAAAATAAGCGCACTGATAGGAAATACTTGAGTTCGCAAGTAACCACAAGGGTAATACTTGAGTTCGCAAGCAAAACAATCAAGAATTGGCCAAAACAGTGAGCAAGTCAAGGGAAAATCAGCAAGAATACGCCAAAACGATTGTGGATTGGAGAAGAAAACACCAAAGAGAATATTTAATTCCAATAACAATAAGAAAGATCAAGCAAGATACAATTTCCTTCAATTCGAGAGGAAGGAAAAACTCTCAAAAATATCTAGCACGGCGTAGAGACTCAAAGCCAAACCCTAGATCTCAAATTACATTCAAATTCAAGATAATCCCCAATTTCCTTCTAATCCCCTAATAAACAATAAAGAAGAACTACAAATTACCTAAACAACCCTTACATTCAATTTTTTCCCTCCAACCCTTGCATTAAGCCCACCGTGGGCCCCCTTGGACTTCCGCCCCCCTCCTTGTTTTTTTTTTTTTCCGCCTGGCATAGAGGACAGGTCCAGGCTGGACTGGTCCAGGCTGGACTGGTCCAGCCGGCCCCTCCTGGGCCGGCGTAACACGCACATCCGTGCAGAAGAGAGATCAGTTAGTTCTTTAGTTGGACTTCCGCCCCCTTCCTTGTTTATTTTTTTCCGCCTGGCATAGAGGACAGGTCCAGGCTGGACTGGTCCAGCCGGCCCCTCCTGGGCCGGCGTAACACGCACATCCGTGCAGAAGAGAGATCAGTTAGTTCTTTAGAACTGATTAGGTATTTTTAAGTAACAGTTACAAGAATTGATCATCAAATAAATTCAAACATGAGTGTTTGTAAACTATCTTAATGCAATTACAGGGCAATAAATGGGAACATTTTAAATGTGCTCAGAAGCCAAATAGCAGTGGTAGTACTAGTGAGAGTATTATAGTTGGTGTTCTAGTTCTCCTACTAAGTATTATTATTCAATAATTATCCAATTGGATGGAAAATGCCACCCTTCCTCGACCAAAGTAGAAAGAACTACTATTCTAACATCCAGGAATTGTCCCCTGCAATTCTTGCCAGCACTCAAACATTTTATAAGATTCAAAAGAGTATAACAATATTTCTCCTTTGAGAAGGAAAGCAAATCCTTCTATCTATTGGAATTATACCCCACAGTAAAATTCTCTTTCTCAGCCATAACTTCCCGCCTACTCATTTCAATAGAAGCATAATTCATCTCATGAACATGGCCGCTCCCCTGACCCCTAACTTCTATGTAAAGTTAGAAATCCCCACGTTATTGCTATGGCCCAACACAACTGCTGAAACTTAAACTGATATCATAAACCAACCTTTGCTTTCACCAAACTTCTATTATTTTTTCGAAGAAAATAGAAAAAAAAAATGTAATCATCATCAGAAAAAGATTAAATGCCCTTTTTCCATAAGATTTATAAGATATGAAAAAGTTGATTTCCAGCTCTCAGTTCTTTCCTGCAGTTACTACTATATCAGTGCAGCGCAATAGCTATTAGATAAGACAGTCCAAGAATTTAATTACTCAAGCCATGCATACAAGAGTGTCATTGAGAACGGCCGAATATTGTCATTACAACAATGGGCGACATGTGGATGGGATTATGTCCAACAAGTGAGACAAAGTCATCGAGTCATCTACTTCATGCAAAGGGGTTAGGTACAGTCAGGAGGATGGCAGTAGGAGGCGTATCATACAAGCAAGAGAAAATTTAAATGGCCTGGCATTGTAGCCGACGTCAGTTGTGCAGTGTAAATGTCGATTTCCAACATAAGCCTTTAAGCATAAGGAGGATCCACTTCTCCTCGTTGGATAGAAGAGAGAGATTTCATAATAATTAGAGTTTAGTTTAACAAGCATCTAATCTCTAATTTTTTGGCTCCTTTGAATATCCAAGTGTTACACATTTATAGGCTTCCTTCAACCCTATTAGTTGTGGGAGGTAGTTGGGATGCTAGCTTCTAGCTGAATAAGGCCTAAAAATGGTGTGCTATCATATGGCAATGACATTGCTCTTGTCAAAGAACAATAGGAATGTTCGAGGAATGTCAAAATTATTTCTTCAAGAGATACGTAGCCTGTGAGTATTGATTGATTCAGCAGCATCAGTGGTTAAATTTGACATGATGGTACAACAAGAGCAATAGGATGAGATGGTAAATACCAACAATCTGTTAGAGTAGGGATAAATCAACGACTTTAATCAACAAGATATGGCCAACAAATATAAACTATCAGTCACGGTTTTAAAAACCAGATCGGACCGGCCAGTTGTGTTCTCTCATAGAATTGGATTCGAAGGAAACAGGCCAAACCTCCTCAAACCACCAGTCGGACAGCTGAACTGGGAAACAGGTTCAATTTTTCAAAAACTGAGTGGTTCATATAAGACGCAATTTCAACCGTTGATTTTAAATCAAACGCTCCATTAGAAATATTAATAAGATTAAGAAACCTAAATTTCTTCTTCCCTTCTCGTTTTTTTCGTTCGCATGAACAAGTTTCGACTCCATTTGGCATCCCCATCCCTGTTCGTGAACTCAACGTGTCTGTGAGGGCTACAACCATAACAAAGGCACCTCCCCAACGCATGTAGTCTTCCTCTCCAGCATCTATGAACAATAAATTCTAATGAACTTGTCTCAATTGGTTTGTTTCTCTTGAATAGTTTGCAAAAAATTTGGAAAAACCCTAGTTGTTTACATGTATTTTGCTTAATTAGACATCAATAACTTTGAATTTTCACTGAAAAAGTAGCTGATTGAACAAATATTAATTTTGTATTTTCATTTCAAATGTAGTTTATTGAATTTCATTTGAAATGTGATGCATGTATTGTTTAACCAGACATTTTTAATTTTCAATTTTCTTAGCAAATGTAACTGATTGTCCAAATATTTCAAAGAGTTTATGAATACTGGCGTTGTTGTGTCCTCAAAATTTTATTGTTTCTTCCAGAGCCCAAGTATGCTTACTTATTATCACTCATCCGATTTAGACTTTGTATGACAAAAGATTTTGCTCTTTCAAAAGAATTCTTTTAATTAATAATGTAAGTTTTATGCTTCATAATTTTTTATTCTGTTTAATTTTTTGTCAAGCCATCAAACTTGAATTATGGAGGTCAACCGTAAAGTCTAAAGGCTTTCATTTGAGTAAATCTAAAACTGAATATATGGAGTGTTATTTTAGTAATAATAGATCTAGTGGAGGGATTGTGACTTTGGGTGATAAAATCATTAATAAGAGTACACGTTTTCGATATTTTGGGTCTATTGTTTAGAGTGGTGGTGAAATATATGGGGATATTATTAGTAGAATTCAAGTTGGATTGTTGAAGTGGAGGAATGCATCGAACTTGTGTGATAGAAAAGTTTCTCACAAACTTAAGGGAAAATTTTATAAGATAGTGGCTAGACCTGCAATGCTTTATGGTGCATAATGTTGGTCATTAAAAGAGAAGCTTAATATTATTAAGTTAAGTGTTGCAGAGATGAGGATACTCAGGTGGATGCGTGGTTTTACTCTTAGAGACAGGATATGAAATGAGCATATATGTGAAAAGGTTGGAGTAGCTCCAATGGAAGATAAGATTAGAGAGAGTCGCCTTAGATGGTTTCATCACATAAAACGTCGGCCTTCTGATGACCCGATTAAGAAAGTTGATGTATTAGATTTGACTTATATTAAGAAAGGTAGAGGTAGACCTAAAAAGACTTGGTTAGAAAATATTAGAAATGACATTTTTTATTAGATTTAAATAAGAATTTAACTTTTAACATGACACAATGGAGAAAAAAAATATTCTTATAGCCAACCCCACATAATGGGATAAAGGCTTTATGTTGCTGTTGTTGTTTAATTTTTTGTCACAAATATGAAATGATTACATCATTATTATGCTAATTTTATTATTTTTTAATAAAATAAGTATTTATTATGTCATTTGGTTCGACCCCGATCGAACCATCAAACCGTAAATCTCTCCTTCTTCCGGTTCGTTGTCGGGTCTAGTTTTCACAACCTTGCTATAGTTTACTAATGAGATGATGTAATTAGGAGTATGATGACTATGAGAAGATAGGAGAAGTATAGGTACTGATAGATAGGCGAAGGACCTTTAGGTGCCATCAAATTATAAAGTGCACTATAGACATGGGCGAGGGAAATAAATTGATGGTAATGGGCATCAGTCATTGGGCTTCCCAAGCTTGCTTATAGGCTAAGTTGACATGGTGGTACAAAATGAAATTGATTGTTTGGGGGGTCTACCATCATCTTGATACATATATGGCCATGACTGAGTGCAAAAATAAGATGTTCTAAGATGTTACATTCTCCACCCACCCCCCACCCCCCACCCTAAACTCATCAAGGGCTATCCCATACCCTTTAGGCTAATGATGAAACTCAATCTTTATGTAAAATAAATTTGAAATTTTGAGATAAAAGTATTTGCTACATATATTTTATCTGCATTATTGTTCTTGTTTGGTGAGCCTTAATTTGAGTAGGCTTGTTATAGCCATTTGGCCATGTTGAATTCCAATCATTGATGCTAGACCGAATGACAACTTTGGTTGGGAAGCTCATTTGGGCTTTAGGCAAATTGATAGGTTATCAGTACATGGGTGTTGGCCTCCATAAATTGACAACAATAGTAATAATGAAATGGTCAAATAAATTGAGGAAAGAATATGGAGAAGCCATTTGCTTCAGAAGCTTAATGGTTGCATGCCACACCATCCCAGATGTGGCAACCAAGTTGTCACATCAAGTATTGTCAAATCTAAAATATTTTAATGATTTCACATCTAGGATCGGTAAGTGACTTATATTCCATGCTTTTTAATCTATGTTTTGATTCACTAAATAATTATTAATGCAAAATATCAATAGCAAAAAAGGAAAACAAAAGTCTAACATTGAAAAAAAATGAATAGTTAAACAAAGAAGTTAACCAAAAAAGCATCTTTAAGGTTTTAGTGTCTTACACAGAGAAAAATGGCATAGCCATTATTTAAAAAAATGCAATAGATACACTCACTATTTTTCCTATCAAATATCAAAGCTAGACAACAGACACATTAGAAATTAAAACTCACCAAGTAGTTCTACATTTTTATTAGATTTGCTGTCATTTTCAACCCTTTGGCTAATGAAGCTGGGTATGCGGTTCATCATAAGTTTCTCATCAAACAAAAAAAAAAATATTTCCTTAGAAAAAGTTCTTTCTTGCACATCCAAGATCCAACTTCCGGCAGATCATATGAAGAAATCTTTGTTTTTTTTTTTTTTCTTATTTTTCTTATCTTTGTTTGTTCTTTTTTTTTCTTGCAACTGTTGACACTATTACTTCACCCACTTGGACAAACTTCAACTATGCCTAAGAATCACAGAAATTTGCATCTAACAAGAATCATAGATTTCCCTGTCATACAAATATATCCATATAACATCATCAAAGAAAAAACGTGCATGTGAGAAAATGTTGTTGTAATTTACAAGCGAAATGGAAAGTGTAGATTCCAGTTCAAATAGAATTACTAATATGCCTTAGTGAATTGGAGGTATCATTGAACCAATCATTTCAATAATAAATTTAAAAAATCAATGAAAGCGTCATTATCATACCAGCATGACACATGGTAGCAGCCTTCTGCAAGCTCAATCATTTGCCTGCATTGCTGACAGCGTCTCCAGCTGTTGCGCTGTGCCAATTGATGCAATGTTATATCTCCATTATTTCTCTCATCTAAAGGCAAGTTTTGATACTCCTCACAACTCATAGAGGAATGCCACGGTACCTGACACCTAGAGCAGACATGTCTACAACAGTCAGGGCACTCAATGCAATATCTATTGGATTGTATCAAAGAGGTCTCCCTAGAAGATGAAGAATGATGGGTGTGAAGTAGCATTGAGCAATCAGGAAATGGGCAGTAAAATCTCCACAAGTTTCTTGCCTCAGTTTCCGTAAGGGCGCCTTCTAAAGATTCAAATGAAGTAGATGGAAGAAAGGATCTACACACACTGTTTGAAATGTAATTTTTACATCTCAGTTGGGGGCACTTCACAGGGATCCGTGAGCTCCGCACTTTACTTCTAACATAGATGCACATGCAATCAAAACAAAGGTTATGGGAGCAGTCCATTTCTATCATTCTAGATAGATGCTTTTCCTCGCCACATGTAGAGCACTCAATCAACTGGCAAAGAATTCCAGTTGCTTCTTGAGCCAACTGCAATGGCTTCATAAGCTCAGATCTAGGAGCCAATCTAAGAACAAATGATTCAAACTTATCAGCAAGTTCTTGAATTCTTTCTCGTAAGGCTATCAAAAGCTGGTCCTCAACCGTATCACCTCTCGTAATCTGTTAATTTTAAATATTGATATTTATCAATAACTTGCATTCCATGGCGATTAATTGTCGATATATTCAATGTAAAACCATTCAATAAATAACAGTAATCAAACTTCTACTGCAGTTGATGAAGCAAAAGTATAATACACTACAACTTCAATACAAAATTCAGGACAATGGAAAATTAAATTAGAGTATAAAATCTACAGAAAACGCTTTTATCATTGAATGCACAGAATCAGTTTGGCCATTAACAAAATTTTCTGACATATAAGCTAACTTTGCACATTAATAAGATGAACAAAGAAAAAATGTTAATCTATTTGTCACATAAAACCATTTATAATCCAGATTAACATAGTATTATAATCAATTCATGCCTCTGGTTATATTAAACAATATAATCACCATAAACGAACAAATACTCACCACACCATAAAATTTGTTTGAATCTGTAAATGCTAAAACCTTATGAAAACCATTACGCAGGGCCTCAAGCAGGCCATCCATCAAAGCTAAGTGTTCGGCTATTAATTCCTCCACAAAGAAATCCAGCTTTTTCTGCACTTGAAGAAAAGGAACACCATGAGGCTTTTCCATAACCACACCAATTCCAGAGATTCTAGAACCTAAATCACAATTCTCAGAAACTGAAACACCCTTGGAGAAGACCCTTACTAAAAACTCGTCATCTTCATCATGATTTTCAAATAATATTACTGAGCACTTTAAAATATCATTTTCATTATCCTCGGAAAATATAAATGAACATTCTGAGATATCTTCATCATCTTCAGACAATTGAAATGAACTCACTGAGACATCACCTCCATGGGATTCACAAAATCTTAGTGAGGCATCCAGAATATCATCATCATGGCCGTCAGACAATCTTAGTTCGCAATCCAAAACACCTTCTTCCACACCTTCAGACAATCTTAGTAAACACTCTGAAACATCTTCCTCATGATCTTCAGACAGTCCTAGTGAGCACACTGAAACATCTTCATGACCTTCACACAATCTGAGGGAGCACTCCGAAACATCTTCATCATGGACTTTAGACTGACTACTTAAGCACTCAGGAACAACTTCTTGATCATTTCCTTCAAGCAATCTAAGTGAGCACTCCGAAACAATTTCTTCAAGTCCATGATAAAAGGCTGCCGACTTCTCTAAATCTTCTCCAAACTCCATAAGCAAACTTAACGATGACTCAACATCTTCTTGGAGAGGTTCAGATATTCTTAATGAGGATCGATCACCTTCTTCTTGCCCATCATATATCCTCAAAGGAACCTCTTCTTTGCCTTCCTCCTGTCTTTCAGAAAAAGATTCCTCTGCATCTTGCCAATCCTCATCTTCCTCACAGCAACTCCTAAATTCTTCATCAACACCACAATTTCCCAGATTCAGATCACTAAAATGAGCAGATTCCTCCATTAAGAGAAAAGCTTGCCCTTACACCACCCAAATAAACTGCCTAAAAAGAGATAGGGAGCCGCCTATAATTATCCTGCGCTCAAAATACTAATAGAAGGAAAATCTAAAAATAAAATAACTTATTTTTCCTTAGAGACGTCGTTACAGGCATGGCTCCGGGGACTTCAATCATGCACCAAAAAATGTATGCTCCATTGATGAAACTTCATAAGAAGTCCATCAGATTGAAATGCAAAAATGTATTCCATATGCAATCTCAACTCCTTGAAAACTTCTTCACCATTTATTTCACAATTTAATGCCTTTCTGCAACCAAAAAAAGAAAGTCAATATAGATCTTCTGCCAAAATTAAAAAAAAAATAGACGAAAGCAAGAAGTCTCCTACTAACACAAAAAATATAAAAAGCAAATAAAACTAACAATTTCACTCGATTTCAGTTTCCTTGCAATCAGAAGCCGAATCTTCCGGCACTCCAAACCAAAAAAAAATCCAACAAAACTGCCGGAATCCTCCACGAAGAAGCAACCATCGTAAACAACAAGCTGAGATCACCGGGCCCCCTCATCTCAATGAAAAAAAAAGCGAGAATCCAAACTGTTTCAGTTCCAACTTATCAAAAGCGGAAACCGACAAAGCAAAACAGAGCTTCTCAAACAAGCCTCTTTTAAAAATTAATAGGGCTTCGACTGCCGGAAAAAAATTAGGGCGTCGAAAAGCCGCCGGAGCTAACCAACAAGCAATTAATTATATTCCGATCGGACCATCTTTTTCTCTGTGGGAGCAGGTAGAGCCGAAAGCGTGCGCAGGCCATTACCATGGTAGTACCAGAAACCATAGAAAAATGCGGAAAATTTGAGGATTGCTTCGCATAAAACACCCTAAAAAATTTTTATTTGTGCTATAACTTTATGAATGTAAATTTATCGGGTTTAATTTTGGTAATCAAATCCGAATCTTATCCGCCGTACCCTCCGATCTGATCGGGTCACAAAGGGGAATAAGTTCAATTCTCTTCCGACCCAAGCTTTTTAGGCCTCTAGTAGCGGAGAATTTTTATGAGGTCCAGACACCTGACGTAGCTTTACATCCAAACGTCAATAAAATATCGCCACGTGCTCTTATTCGTTACCGTGCGGCTCGACGACCCTATCCGGATTGGAACCCAATATTGTTATGTATTAGCTGATTTGTACAGACCTGGGTATTGCTAGATTTTGCTCGGTAACGAGAAATATCATTTTGTCAAGACCAATACCGAGCAATACCATTGCTTGGTATTGGTCTTGACAGAGGGGTATTTCTCATTCTTGCCAAGCAATACCTAGCAATACGGAGCAATACCTAACAATACACGAACATAGCAATACCGGGTTTCCGTTCTAGGTCAGGTCGTCGGGACGCGCGATAAAGAGTAAGAGCACGTGGCGAAATTTTATTGGCATCCGGATGTAGAGCTACGTCATGTGTCCGGAGCTAATAAAAACTCCGTAGCATAACTCTTTTCCAAAAATAAAAGTTTTGAAAATTGGTAATGATGAATTCTGAAATATTTTTGACCGTAGAGAATAATTTAGTTTAACATCTTAGTTTTATACTGAGATCCAGCACACAAATAAATAAGTGAGTATGATTATAATGTTTATAGAGACACATAATTTTTACGTGTAAACTCTTAAGAAGTAGAAAAATCATGGGACATGACCCAATTTGAATGAATCTACTAGTATTTGCAATTGACAAATGAGACCCTTTCTTAGGAGAAAGATTTTGGTTCGATTTAACAAATATACATTACATAGAGTGCATTATATGGTCGGAGTTGGAAGAATCAGGGTTAATATGTTCGTTTGGGCGGCATCATTATAGTCGGTGACTGATGTAAGTCCGAAGGACAGTAGTCCAATGATAGTAGTCGGGAGATGGAGGTCAAAAAGACTGTAAAACAATGGTGGTCAGAAGGACCAAAGTTGGGCGACGGTGGTTGGAAGGACCGTAGTTGGGCGATGAAGATCAGAAGGACCGTAGTCAGGAGACGATGGTCAGAAGGACTACAGTCGGCGAGCGACGATGGTCAGAAGGATCGTTATTGGCAAGAGATGGATGTCAGGAGGACAATTGGAAGGACCGTAGTCGGCGGGAGACGAAGGTCGGAGGAACTTTGGCGGTGGTTGACGAACGGGCAAAAATCTGGCGGTGGTCGACAAATAGGCCGAAGTATGGGGGTGGTCGGGAAGAACTCTGAAGATGGTCGATGAACGGGCGGAAGTCTGTCGATGGTCTACTAACAAGCGGAAGACGGACGATGATATGGAAGAACTCCGATGGAGTTCGGTGGCAAAAGAGCTCACCAAATTTTCTCCTTCTTTCTTCCCCCTTTCTTCCCCTTCATGTGTAGAATGGGATCTATTTATAATTTTTTGAGAGGCATGACTTGTAAATATGGAGAGGATCAAGGTCAAGCTATGAGTGATTTGAATGGATGGCTGATATTGATCATTTTGATCATGGGCTCGTTGAATTTGTCTCGTCAAGCTGCTCGATTCGACTATAAGAATATCATGTTAAGAATTCTTTTGGTAATCCAAATTATGATTTGAATCTTCCAAAAGTGCCTCGAGTTTTTTATTTAGGACGATTTGGGCTCGAATTGAGACGAATTTGGTGTTGTTTGGTTCTTCTTTTTGAGGCGCTCAGTTCGATTATAAGCTTGCTAAAATCGGAGTTTGGAGGATCCCAAATTTAATTTTGAAAGCTTTTAACATAATTTGCCTCGAGACTCATTCCCAATCAAGATAAATTTTTTATGATATATCATATAAGATAATGAGTGTTTAAAAAACACAATTTTATGAAAAGTAGGCTTCCAAACAGTGACTGAAATTATTTTTTCAAGTTTTGAAACAAAAATGGAGCTTATTAAGCCGTCCCAAACTAGGCCTTAGTTGTGGAACAATTATTAGGTCAGGACACCTGACGTAGCTCTACATCCGGACGTCAAGAACTTGTCGCCACGTGCTCTTATTTTTTACCGCGCGGCCCGATGATCCGACCCGGAACGGAACCCAGTATTGCTATGTTCGTGTATTGCTTGGTATTGCTATGTATTGTTCAGTATTGCTAGGTATTGCTTGGCAATAACGAGAAATACCACTTTGTCAAGACTAATGCCTAGCAATACCTAGCAAAATCGGGGTATTGCTCGATATTGCTAGGAATTGAATTTGAGAGAGCGATATTTCTATTTATTGCCGACCAATACCGAGCAATACCTAGCGATATCCAGGTTTGCACAAATCAGCCAATACATAGCAATACCGGGTCGGGGTAGTCGGGCTGCACGGTAAAGAGTAAGAGCACGTGGTGGCATATTATTGGCGTCCGGATGTAGAGCTACGTCACATGAGCCTTCCGAGTGGGAGCACAATCGTACATAATATTTTATTAGTCTACTATATAATTTATTAAATATATTTGATGATTTTTTATAATGAAATATATTAATAAAAAATTATGCATATATTTGAAAGTATATATATATATATATCATCATCATCATCATCAAAAAATTATATTGATCGAGTACGAATCTCAAGGCAAAAATCAAGTTGGAACTTTAAAAAATAAATTGGAGATCATATGAACTTAGGTTTCAACAAACTTATAGTCGAACTGGACGTTTCAGAAATACAAACCCAACGACATCAAATTCAACTCAATTCGAGCCCAAATGAGTATAAAACAAAGACCTTAAGCTCATTTGAAGGGTTCAAACTATCATTTGGATTACTAAACGATTTCCAAACGTAACATGCTTTTAGTCGAATCGAGCGGCTAGACGAGACGAATCTAACGAATCCAAGATCATCAAATTTTGATATGATTAGGGCCTTCAAAATGCTTAATAAATGGTCCATGATCATGGGATTATAAATCGATCGTCCATTCAAACCACTCCTAATTTACCTCTGATCTTCCTCTTATTTATTGATCATGTCACTCTTAAAAAATTATAAATATGCCCATATTTCTCTAAAAAGGGGACCCAAGCAAGGGGAGAAGAGAAGGAAGCAAGAAGAAAATAAAGAAAAGAAAGAGAAGGAATAGACTCATCGACCGCTGCCGGACTTTCACCCGGCAGCCAACCGACGCCAGAGTTCTTCCCGATCTCCAACTGACTCCATAATTCTTCCCAACCATCGACTAACATCGGAGTTCTCCCTGACAGCGAATTGAAGCCGGAGTTCTGCCTGACAGTCGACTGACGGCAGAGTTCTGTCCAATAACTAACTGACGTTGGATTTCTGTCCGATCACCCAACATCGCTGGAAATTCGATATTCATTTGTAAATGAATTTCAACGCTGGAGTTGTAATCTGATCGTCCTTAATTTCAGGGGCAATTCAGCCACTTGTAACTTAAGTAAACACTAGTTGGATCATTTCAACTGGGTGTGGCCTCGTGGCTTTTCCCTTTCCAGGATTTTCCATGTAAAAATCATGGTGTTACATTTTTCTTATGTTTGTGTGCTTGATATCCGTACAAAGCTGAGATAAAAATTTTCTAACTCTATCGCCGCTTATATTCTAGCCCGCAACAATTTGACGCCCTGTTGCGGGCTAGAAGAAAAATATAAAACTAGGATTTTTGCGTGGATATATATGGGTTTTTATCTTTCATAATATTATTCGAAATTGAAAAAAAAAACATAACAACTATTTTATTTTTTGGAAAAAATATACTTGAAAGCTCACTTATGCCCAAAATAACTTTGCTTGTAAATGAAAAGGTGAAACCCTTACTGAGCAATGTTACTATATATTTCTTCTCTATTTTTTATGATTGCAAAGCATTCATCTTCGAGCCGAATTTCACAATGATAGTTTCAGCATGCTTATCATATTTGAAAGTTATTGATATTTTTTTATTTATCTTTAGAATTGAAAATATGATTCGCAATCTAAGCCCTAGATACCTTGGCCATTTGACTTTAACATATGTGCTAATTGTCATTTTATAGCCATCTTCTAATCATGTTTATCATTGGAACAATAATTAAATCATAGTCAAGCAATCTCAACAATCTTCAAAATATAAGTGAATTTTCTTCAATCGTTTTTAAAATGATTGACCCATTTTAGCCTTGTTTGAACTTATTCGAACTCTTGATCGAAGCTATATTCGACCTTCTTCAAAAAGTGTTTTGTTGATCAAAAGTCGAATATAATTTTGATCAAGAGTTTGAATTAGACCTAAATAATGCTAAAATACGTTGAAGTTGATTCGTATATAACTAAAAAAATTTGATGATATTTTAAGATTTAATAATCAGAGTTGTTCTCCTATCATTTCAAGAGCATTACTTGGCTTAGTCATAAATAAAACTCAAGATGGTTTGGGGGGTAGGTTATGAAGAAGCTACTTACAAAATTTGAGGCTAATAACCTCATTGCCCAGGCTAAGGGATCTCTCTTTTTTTTTGCACTTCTTCAGATATCTTGATATGAGGTTCTCTGATGTCCACAATCATCAATTATTGCTGAGGCTTATTGATGATTAAGAAAATGGTGAGAACTCCATTTATTCAATATTTGAGGGAAGAATATGATCTTAGGATTATTGAGTTTACTATAGTGATAAGGTTGAGCTTTCAAGAGTTCATGCTTGATATTAAGTTCGGAACGATGAAAGAAGTACTAGGATATTCGAGGGCTACTTGAATGGTTTCATAAAGATGATTTCAATAATATATACCTTGAAAATTTTCAAGGTATGCACCGACAAAGATGGTCTAGCTTGGGTTGTGCTTCTTTGTTGATTGTGTTATTCTTAATCATGACAAGCACAATG